CACCAGCTAGGGCATAGCTCCCTCCCTGACGTCATCTTTAGGCTCTTCCTCCAACACACTGGGCTTCAGCCTCCCTGACTTGCTTTCTGTTTCTTGAACACAGTAAGCTTGCTTTTTTGCCTTAGGACTTTTGCATTAGTTGTCCCCTCTGCCTGGATGCTCTTTACTCATATATTTTGCATGGCTGATTCCTTGTCATTCAGGTCTCTATGTAAACATCACTTCCTCAGAGAGGAAGTTGCTTCCTATCTGTCCCCTTTTCTAATTGTCATCATCGCACCTATCACCATCAACTATCTTCTCATGTATTCATTTGTTTTTTGTCTCCTCCCACTAGAAGGAAAGCTCCATGAGAATAGGGATCCAGTCTGCTGCCACTGTATCCCCAGCACCTACGAATAGAACAGTACCTGGCCTTAGTAGGCACTTGCTAAATATTTGTGGAAAGAAAGAATGAATGAATGAATGATGGGGAGCTAAGGGGCTTCCCTGGTGGCGCAGTAGTTAAGAATCCACCTCCCAGTGCAGGGGACACGGGTTCGAGCCCTGGTCTGGGAAGATCCCACATGATGCGGAGCAACTAAACCCCTGTGCCACAACTACTGAGCCTGCTCTCTAGAGCCCTTGAGCCACAACTACTGAGCCCACATGCCCCAACTACTGAATCCTGCGTGCCTAGAGCCCGCGCACTGCAACGAAGAGTAGCCCCCGCTCGCTGAAACTAGAGAAAGCCCGTGTGCAGCAACGAAGACCCAGTGCAGCCAAAAATAAAATAAATTTAAAAAAACTAAAATGGTTAATTAAAAAAAAAAAGATGGGAAGCTAAGGAATGAGGAAGTTTGTATCCATCTGGAGTTTAGAGTCAATCATTTCATTCCCATGGGTGGTAGTGGTTCTGGGACCCGTGGTGGCCAAGGCCTCCTCCAACCTGGGACCTAGAGGAAGCCAAGAGTCTCTGGGGTAGTGGGGGTGTCAGCAGCCATGTTAGGGGTGGTGAAGTGGACAGGGGATATACAAATGTGGGTTGTCTTTACATATTTTTCTTACTTTCCAAAAATGAAATGCACAGAAATCTGATCTTTAAGACAGAAAAGTCAGGGAATGATTATTTGCACCGTAAAAGGAATCTTTACCTTGTAAAAGGGAGTAAGCAAAGGGTTGCTTAGCTGTTTCCCGAACGACCCAGGGAAGGCTCAGGGGACTCAAGCCCATCCATTAGTTATGTTCCAGGATGTTTCAAGCATTGTCCAGATACACTTATGGGTATATAGAACTTGCACTTACATATAATGCATTCTTCTCCTAAGAATTTCCTCTTTCTGAAAAATGAGAGGTTGATAATACCTGTGACTGTGACTGTGGTCTGTATGAGAAAAACCACAGTCATTGAGATCAAGCTAGACTTGGAGCAATAGAAACAGCTCATGCCAGCTGCCTCCCTCGCTCTCTTTTTTTCTTCTCTTTGTCAGGGTTAAAACCTTCCAGCTGATCCCTGACTTGCTGTTTATTGCCCAGCCCGGGATAGGAGGTCCTTTCTGAATACTTCACTTATTGTAGTGGTTCTCAAACCAGGTTCAGCAGGGCTGGTGTTCCCCCAGCTGGATCAAGGTGTTCTGCCATGAAAATTGAGTAATAGCCATCTTATTGTGGTTCAAAGAAAAAATAAAATAAAATAAAATTTTCTCAATTTTAAAGTTTTCCCAATATTTTTTTCTAAAACGTTGGTGCCTGTGATTCTAGAGTCTGTTAGATCTGGCCTAGTACAACACGATGTTTTGGGTTTTTTTTTTTTTTGCGGTACGCGGGTCTCTCACTGCTGTGGCCTCTCCCGTTGTGGGGCACAGGCTCCCGACGCGCAGGCTCAGCGGCCATGGCTCACGGGCCCAGCCGCTCCGCGGCATGTGGGATCTTCCTGGACCGGGGCACGAAGCCGTGCCCCTGCATCGGCAGGCGGACTCAACCACTGCGCCACCAGGGAAGCCCCCAACACTATGTATCTTAATATATTAATATTTCACCATTAATATTAATATATTAATATTTCACCATGTTCTGCTAAGAGTACCGTTTCTTCTAGGGGCTCAGGGTAAGTGTGAGAACCACCGTCTCCGAGATTCCGTGTTTCCTACCAAGCTGCTCACCCACAAGCTCTTTTAAACAGCCTTGGCGTATTTCAGAGGGACGTGATCTGGCTGAAAAATGTACCACACGTGCAATCTTCTCTCACGAAGGTGCTGGTGGAAGGCCCATACTCTAACCCATGGTCTAACCTGGAGTCCCTGGCCCTCTACAGTTGGTCACTAGAGGCAGGTCTCACTCTTTTTGGGTCAGAAGCTACAGATCAAGGGCCCACTGTCCCCATCCTTCAATGCACTCCCCACAGCCAAAGGGGAGAAGAATGTTGCCACCTGTCAGCAGAAGAATGTCTGCTTCTGAGGGAACATCAGGGAAGGACAGGCACAACTCACATTTGTGATACATACAGGCAGAACCATAGTGAAGCTGAGTGGAAAGAGAAACAAATTGGGTTTCTGATCCACCTTCCATCACCAATCGGCTGCGTGATCGTGGCCAAGTCAATTCCCATCTCAGGGGCTTGGTTTTCCATAGTCAGTAGAGCACAGTGGTGACACACACAGACTCTGAAGCCAGAGAGCATGTGTTCAGAATCTGGACCTACCACTTTCTGACGTTGGAATTATTGACCCTCTCTGTGTCTCATTTTTCATGGGAAAAGTGAGGTACATCCTCACTCCAAGGTAAGGACGATAATAATAGCATCATGAAGTTATAAGGATTAAATGAATTATTTTATGTCAAGGGCTTAAATGACTACTCAGCACCAAGTAAATGATATATAAGTGCTTGCTTTTTAAAAATTAATTAATTAATTAATTTCTGGCTGCGTTGTCTTTGTTGCTGTGCGCGGGCTTTCTCTAGTTGTGGCGAGTGAGGGCTACTCTTCGTTGAGGTGCGCGGGCTTCTCATTGCGGTGGCTTCTCTTGTTGCAGAGCACGGGCTCTAGGCACGTGGGCTTCAGTAATTGTGGCCTTCGGGCTCAGAGGTTGTGTAACGCGGGCTCTAGAGCACAGGCTCAGTTGTTGTGGCATACTGCGCGGCATGTGGGGTCTTCCTGGACCAGGGCTCGAACCCGTGTGCCCTGCATTGGCAGGCAGATTCTTAACCACTGCGCCACCAGGGAAGTCCCAGTGCTTGCTATTTTGATTACTAAAAGTATAGCAGCTGAATTAGATAATCTTTATGACTGCTTCCTACTCTAATATTCTATAGATTAAAATTTTAATAATTGAATATTCCCCACGTGCCTAGCAGTAGGTCATGTTTCCTATCTGTAAAATAAAGGCCTGGAATCATTTTTAAGGCCCCAATAGTGCTAGAAACAGACCCTCAGTGTAAGGTGCTGATGGTGGGGATCAAAGAAAGGTGCTGATGGCAGCCCTGCCCTCCAGGAACCAGAAATGGAATTCAGGAGGCCAGACTAACACACCAGCCATACACTAGGGTAGAGGAGGCCAGTGTGACTTAAAGCACCCAGAGATGGATCCCTAGCATATTTCTTCGGCTTACTTGGTTGGTGTCCAAATTTTTTTTTTATTCCAAAATAAAATGAAGGACAAAGCCTTCCATTCCAGAATATAAAATTTCATAACACACCCGTTTCTTTTCCTCAATTATCTTTTGTATTTTCCCCTTACAGCCCATAAACATATTATTCTAAGAGATAAATGGTACATAATGGTTTCAGACTGGAAAGGAAATTTTGCCTGGCTGCCTGAAGGGAGAAGTCAGGCAAAAAGGCCCCAAAGTTCAAATTACAGGCCACGCCTGCACAACTGAGACTCATACATGGCAGAATAAACTATCCATTTTTCATTTTCATTTCCCATTTTCAAACATTTTAACCAACATTTTTCTAGCTCATCCTGAAAATCCTGTAAGAAAGACAAGACATAGTTTTATCCCTATTTTATAGATGAGGCTCCAAGAGAGTGATGATTTAGCCAAGGTGGATAGTTTGCAATCATATATGCCTGATAAGGGATTGAAATGGATTTTCTTAATTCTTCCCCTCTCTTCCCTGCCTCAAGCTCTGGCCTGGGCTCAGGAATCCCAGTAGGGGCTTGGCGTGGACCAGAGTTGGGCCTTGAAGGACTAGAATACCGGCAAGGCTGGGTTTGAGGGAGCAGCTTCAGCTATCTAGGCTGTGGGACCTTGGGTGGGGAAGGGGCTGCCAAAGGAAGGAGGAGCTACAGGTCTGGATGAGGCAACAGGGAGCGCACCTCCAAGGGAAGCCAGATAAGCTGCCCTCTTCCCAGCTCTGAAGGACTGGCATCCCCTCTAAAGTCAGAATCACTTGCATCCTGAGTGAGTTTATTAACCTTCTTCTCCTTTCTGGCTACACCATCTTTCTAACCCTCAAAGGGTTAAAGCAGCTTCCACGAGATTTTCCCATCACCCAGGTAACTGGGGCCGCAGCTCCGTGCTTGAAAACGTGGGAAGTAAAAGCCCCAAACAATTTCTCAGTACCCTAGCAATGCACCCTCTCTCCACCCTCCACACTCCGCAGGGAAGCACAACCCTTTGGGTAAAAGGTGCGGGGGGTGGGGGTGGGGGTGGGGAGAGACAGGGAGGGACTCTACACGTGGGCAGGTGCTGGAGGAGCTCCCCAGAGAGAGAGGGGCCGGTGGGCAGCGTGGAGAGTGCCCCTTCCCTCAGGCCCCCTTCTGGGCTCAGGGTGTATAGGAGGTTTGCTTGGGGCCAGCGCCCCGGAGGGTTGGGGGAGGAGGGAAAAAGCGGTGTGTGGGGAAGCAGGCCGCACACACCTGGCGCCTTGTGGAATGAAATCTTAATTAATTATTAAACTGAGTTCCCTCGTGTGTGTGTGGGGGGAGCAGGGCCGTGGCAGGCGGGGCGGGAATGGCAGGGTGGGGGCTGGGGGAGGGAGGAGGGGAGATGGGGGTGAGGAGTGGGTGCTGGGCACCGGTTCAGCTTAGGGGACCCTGCCAGGAAGGAAGCCGACCCTCGGTGTGCTGGGCGGGAGGGGGCTGGTAATCGCTGCTAGAGGGTGGGTTTGCCTGGCGCCTTTGGGGACCCCTGGGGTGAGGGTGGGAAGAGAATGCTGGAGAACGCGGCCCGGGGGTGGAGAGAAGGGGGAGCGGGCTGGACGGCCCGCTCCTTCCCGGGGTCTTGATCCCAGAACAGTAGCCGCTTGTTTTCCCAAGACTGGGGGAGGGAGCGGCCGGAGGAGAGGAGGGGGCGCGCGGAGGAAGGGGTTCCATTCTTCGGTCTCCCCCACCCCTACCCCGTTCCTTCTAAGGGGAGCCGGCCACCCTGCCCGGCGTCCGGGGAGGGGAGGGGTGTCCAGACAAAAGGAGCTTGTGCCTTTAAGGCGGGGAGTCCGGGAGCCGGCGGGGAGGGGACTTCTGGATCCGGGGTAGAGGGCGGCTGCGCTGGACAACAAGGGAGGGGGCGAGGGCCGGGCGGACTGCGGACGGCGGGAGGGGCGGCCGGGACGCGCGGGCACGGAGCAGGACCGCGGGACGGCCGGCCGGCCGGCCGGAGCCCGCGGCTGCGGCGGGGCGGAGGCCCCGGGGAGGCGCCGACCCCAGCCGGCAGGTGAGACCGCGCGGAGGAGCGTCTGGGGGAGGCGGCGGCGCCCGGCGCTCGGCGCTCGGCGCTCGGGTCTCCGTGCGGCTGGCAGACTCCCGCGCGGCTCCCGGGAGTTTTGTGGTCCGGGCGGGGAAGCCGGCGCGGGGGGAGCCCGAGGGCGTCGAGGCTGGCGGGGGGAAAGTCCGGGAGGAGATGGGGGATCGAGGAGTCCTGGGTCCGGGGCTCAAGGCTCCCACCCTCACTCCCTGCCCTGTGCTTCCCTTCCTCCACCCGGGGCGAGTTCCCGGCTTGCTGGGAAGAGGGGGAGAGGCATGTACTGGGGGAGGGGCTGTCCTGAGGTTTTTGCGGCAGGGCTGTGGGTGAGCCTCCGAGTTTGAGGTAGAGTGTGATTGTGTTTCGGGGAAGGGGAGGCAGCCTGGGCGGAGGGAGGGATGCCCTCTGTCTGCAAGAGTCCCCCTCCCCTCACCCCATACCTTGGGAATGAAAGGGCTGGTGTCCAGGCCCTCTGCAGGGTGGGCAGGGTGGGCAGACTTTATTCAGAACAGGCTCTGGGGCCTGACTGAAAAGCTAGAGGTGGAATCAGGCTGTGGACTCTTTTCCTATACCCTCTGCTTACCGGAGTACCCCTGTGAGTGGAGGGCCCTGGTGGGGTTTGTATGGTTGGGGTGGAGGTGGGACCTCAGTGCAGTCTTTAGGGAGACCAAGGGCTGGGGAAGGGAGGAGAAGGGTTGATGGACCTCCAGATACAGGCCCTGGGGAGGTTCCTCTACATCTGGACAGGCCGGGAATTGAGGCCCACGTCCCAGCCTGGTGGGCAGTGCTGGCATTGAAGTGCCCTGCCTGGGCAGTGCCTTCTTCCATGAACTTTCTGAAGTCCTTTTAAATCCCCTGGAGCCTCCTTTTGCCACCTTTTGGGAATAGGAGGTGACTAGGAAGAGAGTTTGGGCAAAGCAGCGTGCAGAGCCATCCTTGGGGCTGGGCCCTGGCCTGCTTCAGACTCTGGGTCTCAGGCTGGAGGATCCAGGTTCAGGAGGGACCTGGGGTCTGAGAGACACTGGGCCTTGGTCTGCCAGGCTGAATGGACGTGGCTCCATCCTTGGGAGCCGGTGGTGCCTGGAGTAGCAGATCTGTGAGAGAGAGCAAAGAATCCAGGACCCAGGGAAGGAGGGGGTCGGAGGCACAAGCTCAGGAGCCTATCTCTGGGGAGGAAGGAGGTGGTCTGTGGTTCATAGTGATGGGTTCCTGGACAAGGAGGGTTGGGGCCCCATATAGGGAAGTTTTGTGGCTTTGAACAGTGCCCTGCCCTGTTCCCTGCCGTACCAGCCTGGCGTGGGGTGCCAGGAGTAAGTTCTCCAAGATGGGCAGTGCCTGGAATGGAGCCCAGGGTGGGATGGTTGCAGTTGGTTGGACAATTACAGATCTCTGAAGCTATCCACTTGTGGGGTCAGAGTGTTCTTGGGAGGGTCATGCATTCCCCTGGACAGTGTACGCGCCTTCCTCTGTGGGTACGAGCCACGTGCTAGGCTGTGCTTCCAGGGGGCTGGGAGCATGGCCAGAAACAGGTCCTTTGGGAACAGAGGTCTGGCCAGTGGGGTGGGGGCGTGGTGAGGACAGGTCAGGGGACTGGCGAGGGGGAGGAGGCTGAAGCAAAATGTCATGGGGGGCAGTGGGAAACCTGCTTACTCTGGGCTCTGTCTCACGCAGCTCTCAGGACTGACAGCCGAGGACACAGGGACGGATAGGGCCGGGCGTCTGACTGGCTGGGCAGGTGTGGGTTTTTGCTCACAATTTTCCTGTCTTTCTATCTCTCGGACGCTGGCAGGGTTTTGGGTTCAAAGTGGTGTAGAGTTTGGAGAAGAGCTAATGTTTATTGAGTGTGTACTATATGCCTGACGGGGGCTGTTACATTCTTTCCTCGCAACTCTTATTGTTCCCATTTTACAGGTGAAGAAAGTGACATAGAGAGGTGAAGTAACTTGTCCAAGGCTGCGAGGCTAGCAAAGAATCACAATAAGGTTTGAAACGTGGTCTCACTCCAAAGATCTTGTTTCTAATGAAGTGTTTTGAAGAGCCAGACTTTCTCTGGTGACCTTTGCCAAATGTCAGCCTGACCAAAAGTCTTGGATTTTTGATCTGTCCCTCCAGATGGTGCCGTTGGTGATGTTAAGGGGTTGAAGGGCCTGCTGCTCCGTGGGATATAGGAGAAGGGATGCCAAGAGAACTTAGTGGAGGGTGTACCAGAGATGGGAGTTTCCCATGTGCAGAGAGGTCCCCAGTCCGCCTTCTGCTTGGTGGGCCCCTGGGTGTCTGCTTGGAGCACTGCTTCTGTGGCTTGAGCGTCTGGTCCTGTGACCACCTGGGGCAAGCTCTGGGTATTCTCCCCCTTGTCCCCTAGTGAGTACAAACGTCAGTGCTGCTAGCTCTGCAGGTTTAAGTACGAGGAGCCCCTCAGGGTGCCCCATGGGCATGGAGGAGGGTGGCCCTGGTGGGGATGCAGGCATCCATGGGTGGCAGTGCTCTCACCCTCACCTCCTCCTGAGCTGGTCTCAGCTGGGAGACACATTGAGGGTGTTGTCATGGAGTCCTCCCCTTCCCCCAGGTCAAGACACTTCCCTCCTGGAGACGTGAGATTACGGGGCTGACTTGATTACTTGTGTTCTTTAGAACTTGGGCCAGCTGTATAAAATTACCGTGGACCTCAGTTCTTCTTCTTTTTTTTTTTTTTTTTTTTTGCTGTCAAATCTGTCCTGTGCCCCAGATGGCCACAGGACGAGCCTCACAGGGTTCTGGTGAAGATCAGATGGACTTAGGTATGTGAAAGGACCTCGAAAAGTTTCAAGCAGAGGGAAAGTGCATGGGAGTGTTATCCATCCATCCACCCACCTACCTGCCTATCTACTCAACAAACATTTATTTAGACCCTACCAGTTGCAGATGTAGCAGTGAGCAAAGCAGGCCAAAATCCTTGCCCTCATGAAGTTGACATTCCAGTTAGGAGAGACAGACAATGAACAAATAAGAAAAGTATATAGAATGGCAGCTGTTGATAGGAGCTGTGGAGAAAAATAAAGCATAAAGCTCGGAAGAGAGATAGGGAGCTCCAGGAAAAGGGGCTGCTATTTTAATAGAGTGGTCAGGGAAAGCTCACTGATAAGGGGACTTATGAGCTGTGACCTGGAGGAGCTCTTATTCTAGGCAGAGGGAACAGCAAGCACCAAGGTCCCAGGCTGTCCCGTGCACGGTGTGTTGGGGAACAGCAAAGAGGTTAAGAGGACTGGAGCGCAGTGAGAAAGACGAAGAGTCGTATCGTTATTATTATTTCACGTTAGCTTCTTTATACCAGTGCTCTTGAGCTTGGTTTCTTTCTCTCTTTTCGACTCATAAATTGGTTGAGTTCCTACTATGAGCCAGGCTCAGTATTTGGGGTACCTGGGGTGGGGATAAAGCGCTGAGCAAAATAGATATCATCCCTTCCCTCCTAACATTTATAGTCAGAGGGGCAGAGTCACACATTAAACAAGGGATGATTTAATGATAATGGTGATCAGTACCATGGAGGAAATGTATGGAGAGTGAACAGGGGACCAAACTTAGTCTGGGTGGGGGAGCTGGGACACCTTCCTGAGGAAGTTTTGTTGAAGCTGTAACCGGAGGGAGGAGTTGAATTTAACTCTGTGAAGTGTGCACAGTGTGTGAGTGTGATGGGGACGGATGTGGAAAGAGATTCCCTGTGGTACAGAGGTCACCGATCGGCAGCTCACAGGCTGAATTCATTCCGTAGATGTGATTTATTTGGCTTGCAGTGTTGAAAAATGTGAATTACTTGCCAATGTTTAAAAGTCAGGAGATGTCATGTTAAAGCCTCCATTTTTTAGAATTCAGCTTCTGTTGAAAACTCAGAGGGTCACGTTCCACTGGGACACCAGTGTCAACAGTCTGCTGGTGCGGGGTGGTGCTTGCCCCTGCTTGGGCTGTGCTCTGTCTCTCCTGAGCTGGGCGGTTTTTCTCATTGACAGGCACTCGAGTGGGTCTGTAACCACCAGGAAATCAGTGCCTTTTAGGGAAGAGGTGAATGTTTAAATGAATTGCTTTGGAGTCAGACAGATCTGGGTTAGAATTTTGGTTCTCACACTTGTATGGCTGCTTGATCTCGGGCAAGTGACTTCACCTCCCTCTGCCTCAGTTTCCTCACCTGGTGGCTGGGGATACCCTGGTCTTCCTCAGAGTCATTTCAGGAGGAGGATGTGTCTGAGGTGCTCAGCTTGGTAGCGGGAAGCGCTCGGTTAATGAAAGCTGCTGGTGGCGGCAGTAACGGTGGTATTAACACCACCTCATTCCTTTCCTCCCAGCAGGATGTCATGGTTTAGTGGCCTCCTGGTCCCCAAAGTGGATGAACGGAAAACAGCCTGGGGCGAGCGCAATGGGCAGAAGCGTCCACGCCGCGGGACTCGCTCCAGCGGCTTCTGCACACCCCGTTATATGAGCTGCTTTCAGGGTGCACAGCCACCCAGCCCGACCCCCGCAGCCACGCCTCGGTGCCCCTGGCAGGATGAGGCCTTCATCCGGAGGGGTGGCCCAGGCAAGGGCCTGGAGCTGGGGCTGCGGGCCGTGGCCCTGGGCTTCGAGGACCCCGAGGCGACCGTGGCAGTCGGAGCCGCTGAGGGGGCCCCCGATGCAGCCGCCAGGAGCAGGCGAGCTTGCTGGCGCCGGCTGGTGCAGGTGTTCCAGTCGAAGCAGTTCCGCTCGGCCAAGCTGGAGCGCTTGTACCAGAGGTACTTTTTCCAGATGAACCAGAGCAGCCTGACGCTGCTGATGGCGGTGCTCGTGCTGCTCATGGCTGTGCTGCTGGCCTTCCACGCGGCGCCTGCCCACCCTCAGCCTGCCTATGTGGCCCTGCTGGCCTGCGCCGCCGTCCTCTTCGTGGCGCTCATGGTGGTGTGCAATCGACACAGCTTCCGCCAGGACTCCATGTGGCTGGTGAGCTATGTGGTGCTGGGCATCCTGGCAGCCGTGCAGGTCGGCGGCGCCCTGACAGCCAGCCCCCGCAGCCCTTCTGTAGGCCTCTGGTGCCCCATGTTCTTCGTCTACATCACCTACACGCTTCTCCCCATCCGCATGCGGGCCGCTGTCTTCAGTGGCCTGGGCCTCTCCACCCTGCACTTGATCTTGGCCTGGCAACTCAACCGTGGTGACGCCTTCCTCTGGAAGCAGGTGGGTGGTCGGGGAGGTAGGCGTGGGGGCACCAGTGTGGGAATGAGAAGGGGTCTGCTAATCGAGGGTGGGAGAGTCACGGGTGGACACGGAAGAGGGATGTCTGGCTGTATCTGGGAGGAGGGGTGGGTCTCCATTTCGGATCTGAGGCAGAAGGCACTGCTAAGGGAAGGGAAGGCTCCAGAACCTAAAGCCTGTGCTCTGTCCCAGTGGGCCACAGTCTACAGCTCTTTAGCCTGAGGCCCTCGAAATAGCATAATCTGTAGAGACCCAATGTGAGGCTGGAGGTGGGCAGGTGACATTCAGCCCCAGGGTTGGGGCAGGGCTGAGGGGGCTGGGTAGGCTACATCCAGACTTTGGCATCTCTGGCCCCAAGTTGACACTTGAGACTCAGGGCCTGGTGCCTTCCCTGCAGGGCAGCTCTAGGTGGCGATCTGGAGGGATCGAGTAGGTTTTGGATGCAGTTAGCAAGGGAGGAGTTGCCTCTCTCCTGGACTGAGGCCAGCTCCGGGAGGACAGGGAAGGTGATGAGTGGGTCAGTTCTGTCCTGGGCCGGGAGTAGTTTGGGGCTGGACTGTTGACGAGGGGCGACCGCATCCCGCCCTCTTCCCACTGGGCACCAGGGCTCTGGCAGCCTGCCTTGAGGCTCTCTGCCCCTGTGGGCTTCCACCTCTGGCTTCAGAGTGGTGCGTGAGGTGAGGCTGTCGCAGAGGCTTGGCTGCAGGCAGCCCTGGTTGTCCAGTGGGCTGCATTCTTCTCTGTGAGATCCTAGACAGCTAACCTTGCCTCTCCCAGCCTTCATTTCCCAGTCTGTAAAACTGGGATAAAAATAGTAGCTACCTCAGGGCCCCAGGGCCCTGCTCTCAGGGCCCCACCCTCTCTGAGTGGATTAAAACCCGACAGGGTAGCGCTCTCACCTGGAGGCAGGGAGCTGCGGGGATGCTGTAGGGGATGGTTCCCAGTGAAGGGACTGCCGGATGTCCCTTGCAGAGAGATGTGAGCTGGTGGTGTTGGCTGTCTTGTGTCATCCCCCTGACCAGGGACAGGGGCTCTTGCCCAGCTGATCCTTTAAGGGCGGCTGTAGGCACAGCCCCCCAGCCAGCACACCTCGAGATCCCTCCATTGGCACCCTGGTTTAGATGGTGCTGTCCTCTGTCTCGCTCAAGGTTTGAGGGAGCCAGCCTCTGCCTTGCCCAGGGCTTATGGCCTATAGCCCACCCCAGCCCCACCTACAAAGAGGAAGTTGCCTGGGGCTCCCAGGGTTCGAAGCTGGGTGCTCTGGCATGATGCCCTTCCCTGCCCAGCCTGTGGAACAGAATGTACCTTTTTAAGAGTAACCTTATAGCCAGTTTGTTTGTGGAGCACATACCCGCAGGGCACTGTCAGACCTCTTAAAGGGCCAGGGTCCTTCTGCCACTGCTAGCCCCCAATTTCTCTCCAGGGTAGCTGTCACACTGGGCTTTGGAGCTGGACTGCCCTCTTGGGGAAGGAGGAGCTTGGAGGTGGTACCTCCCTTCCCCTATCCTCTCTGGCTGGCTGGGGTAGGTGGGTGTCTCTTCCCTGCTCTCAGCTGGCATGGTGCCCAGAGCCAAGCCCAGGGCCTGACTGGGGACGCGCAAGTCCCATGGAGGCCAGGACTATACCAGTCTCCTGCCTCTCCGGGGCACCCTGCTGCAGCCTCACTCAGTGGGCGAGTGAAGAAAGCTGCCCCTGCCCTGTGTCAGTCCTTGGGGCCAGGGCGGCCCATACCACTTCTCTGAGCTGAGAACATGCCTAGATTCTACATCCAGTTGGCGTACAGGTTCTCTGCGCCCAGCTGGCTTACAGGTTTCTGGGTAGGGTGGGGCTGTGGCCTCCTTTCTAGGCTCCTTGGTCAGCCCCTTCCCGGATCCAGCCCCTTCCTCCTCCTATGACCTGCTCACTCAGACACACTGAGCAGTTTCACCCAGTGCCCCAGCCCAGCCTGGAGTCTCCTACAGTGCCCTGACATCCATTTTTTCTCACAGTCGGATAGGGGGTCTGTGTACAGATCTATTTCGGTCTCTTGTCCCCCTTCCCCTTCCCTCCACCATGACTCACATTTTCCTCTTGGGCTCCTGGGGCCAGGAAGGGAAGTTGCCTGGTTTGCCCCCCTTTCCTTCTCCCCCACTGGGGGCTATTCTTAGAAACCCCCGGGGGAGATAGTGTGCCCCCCTCTTCACCCCTGCTGCTGGGAGGGGGGCCCCTTGTGAGCTGGACTGAGAAGGGAAGCTGGGAAGCCAATCCTAGAGGACGGGAGCTGGAGATGGCTGGGGGTTCGCCGGACCCCTCCATCTTACCCAAGGAAAATGAAACCAAGGTCCCGGAGATTGAGTGACATGCCCAAGTTTGCAGGACTAGTTCTGGTTCCGGGAAGAGCCCAGAACTCCTGGCTTCCAGTTGGTGCTCTTGCCCTCCCTTCTCCCCAAACCAGAGCCCTGCCCCAGCCAACTCTGGGGTGGAGCCACAAGTTCCAGGTTAACCCCTGAATTTCCAGAAACACTGAGGTCGGCTTCCCTTAGACTTGCTCTCCAGTCAGACTTGCTGCTGCTGACGACTGAGGGCGGAACATCCTAGGATCGGGGTCCTAGGGCTTGGGGCCTGGCTGGGCCGAGTGTCGGGGGTGGCCAGGCACGGTGGCACCCCATCCCAGTTCCGAAGGGCTATTTGTGTCAGTAGAATTGATGATTCCCAAGCCTGGGTTCTGAGGCTGGGCCTCAAGAGCTTAGGTGAGTGGAGTGAGTAGGAATCCTGGGAACCTGGAATGTAGTTTACAGTAGGGTTAGGACACAGCTTTGGAGTCCGACTCTCCTGGACTCAAGTCCCACACTGGCTACTACCAGCTGTGTGATCTTGGGCAAGTTACATATAGCTTCTCTGTGCCTGAGTCCCTCACCTTTCAAATGAGATAGTGCTACTGATTTCATAGAGTTGTAAGAAGTACATTCGTTAACATACGGAGGACACCTATAGAATCTAGGCACATTTGTAGGCAACCAACAAATTAGCTCCAGTAATGATAATAATAAAATTATTATTATATTAATTTATGTGAGGGCAGGGAGGGACCTTGGAGATCTTATTCTCCCTCTCCAGGTTCTAGATGAGCAAACAGGCCCCTAGAGATGAGGTGACGTGTCCTGGGCACTCACAGGAAGATGTAGAGCTCAGATCTCCTGGGTGTCGTCCTGTAAGGAGAACCACATATGCAGAAGGAGCATCATTTGTCTTTTGTTTGGGGTGTTTGTGGGGCAGGGAATGATAGTGTGCTGGGCCCAGGCCCTGTGACCTACCTGGCCCTGGTGGGTGCTTCTGCTCCCAGGAGCTGTGAGAAGATCACATTTCTAGCCATGGAGTGATCCAGGCAGGGAGCTGGAGTCCTGTGGGGATGGGGAGGTATTGCAGGGGTGGGGACAGCTTGGGAAAGACAGGGCACAGGATCCTGGCTTCCTCCCCAAAGCAGTGCATCTACAGAGAGCCTAGCTAGTTGCACCTGTGTGTGTTGGGGGTGGTCACCGTTTGCCTCTGCCACCCCTCTGCAGCTCGGTGCCAACATGCTGCTCTTCCTCTGCACCAATGTCATTGGCATCTGCACACACTACCCGGCCGAGGTGTCTCAGCGCCAGGCCTTTCAGGAGACCCGTGGTTACATCCAGGCCCGGCTGCACCTGCAGCATGAGAATCGGCAGCAGGTGGGGCTGCCCCCCCCCCACCCCGATCACGGCCTTCCCCCATCTCACCTGCGAAGAGCTTGCAGGTTGGATCCACCACCTCATGCAACTCCATGGAATAGTGTGAATGGTTCCCCCGATTGTGCACCACAGAGGCCCTTTGACACTGGGGTTCCTGTCCTGTCTGAGGGTGGGAGGGAGTAGATGGAGTGCATCTGAGGGGTTGAGTGGGGTGTAGTCAGAGAAGGCTGAGGACTCTAATGGGGGAGAGTCAGGCCACGGTCCAGAAGGGAAGCTCAGGTCTCCAGAGAGGTCTGGGAGGGTTTGGGGGATGTGGAGGACCAGGAAGGATTAAAATGTGAGGCCAAGAAGATAGGGGTCCTCTGTTGAAACCACTGGTCTAGGAGCGGCTGCTGCTGTCCGTGTTGCCCCAGCATGTTGCCATGGAGATGAAAGAAGACATCAACACAAAGAAAGAAGACATGATGTTTCACAGGATCTACATCCAGAAGCATGACAATGTCAGGTAGGGTGGGGGTGGGGAGGATGCCGGGAGAGGTGCGGGATCTGGGAGTCTTTGAGGGCCACATCGCCCTTCCATCTTCTGCCGTCGTCCTCAGCATCCTGTTTGCGGACATTGAAGGCTTCACCAGCCTGGCATCCCAGTGCACGGCGCAGGAGCTGGTCATGACCCTGAACGAGCTCTTTGCCCGGTTTGACAAGCTGGCTGCGGTGAGGGTGCTAGGGCTTGGGGGTGGGGCCGACGGGGTGAGGGCAAGCCTCATTGGCAGTGGCCTTGGGGGATGGGGGCCGATGGAATCTGCAGTGAGGGTAGTGGGCCAGGCAGGCTGGGCCGGAGTAAAGGTGACTCTCCCCCAACTCTTTCTCCTTTAGGAAAATCACTGCCTGAGGATCAAGATCTTAGGGGACTGTTACTATTGTGTGTCAGGGCTGCCAGAGGCCCGGGCAGACCATGCCCACTGCTGCGTGGAGATGGGGGTGGACATGATCGAGGCCATCTCGTGAGCACCGTCCCCTCCCAGCCTTCCTGGAACTGAGGGTGCCCCAACCTGCTCCTGCCCTTTGATGTGTCCTCGGGACTTTTTCTCAGTCTTGGCTGTCTCCCTGTCTTGGAGATCCATCACTGGGGAGGGGAAAGGGTCTTTCTTCAGCCTGTGTGAAGACCCATGTGCACCTTAGACTCCAGCCAGCTGGGATGGGGTAGGGGGAGCCAGGATGAGGGGGATTTGGGCTGGAGAAGATGCCAGCTGAGTAGGCCCAAAGGGAGGGTAGTGATTCCTCCTCTCCTAGCTCAGTCCCATAAGATGCTGCTGGGCCCCTGCTGGTGAACAGGGCTCCCAAACACTTGTCCTTGGGCCCCATGCAGCCTCTTGCCCGTGTCCTGCTGAGGGTGTGCCGTGTGCCCTGCGACTGGGTCTGTCCTTGCCCACTTGGCTCCAAGGCGAGCACAGGGCCTGGGCTCTGGGCTGGAAGTGGGGAGGACTGTGCCGGGAACTAAGCCAGGCCGCCTCCTCCCAGGCTGGTGCGCGAGGTGACAGGTGTGAACGTGAACATGCGCGTGGGCATCCACAGCGGGCGTGTGCACTGCGGCGTCCTTGGCCTGCGGAAATGGCAGTTCGACGTGTGGTCCAATGACGTGACTCTGGCCAATCACATGGAGGCCGGGGGCCGGGCCGGGTGAGCGTGCGTCCAGGGGGCGAGGGACGGGAGCCCCCCCCCCCGGCAGAGCAGGGGTCTCACCCTCCTGTCCCGTGCAGCCGCATCCACATCACTCGGGCCACGCTGCAGTACCTGAACGGGGACTACGAGGTGGAGCCGGGCCGTGGCGGGGAGCGCAACGCCTACCTCAAGGAGCAGCACATTGAGACCTTCCTCATCCTGGGAGCCAGCCAGAAACGGGTCAGGGCCGGGACGGGGCGGGGGTGGGCAGACGGGGAGAGGGGCAGATGGGGGGAGCTGGCAGAGGCCTTCTCTGGGCCACTCTTCCCAGCCTGTGCCCATGCTGCCTACACAGAAAGAGGAGAAGGCCATGCTGGCCAAGCTGCAGCGGGCGCGGGCCAACTCCGTGGAGGGGCTGATGCCACGCTGGGTGCCCGACCGCACCTTCTCCCGGACCAAGGACTCCAAGGCTTTCCGGCAGATGGTGAGGGGCCCACGGCGCTGGGACCTGGGGCCTCGCTTTCCTGTCTCCCTCAGCACTGTGTCCTCCTTGCCTCTTCTGCCTTCCCCATCATGGCTGCCGTCTCCGTAGTTTCTGGAGTTGGGGATAGAGGGATGATTTCACCCCAGGGGTCCCAATCCCCCCAGAGTCTATGGGGAGAGCCTTCAGCGCAGTGCTGGGTGGGGAAGGGATTGTAGAGGTGAAGGTCGCCTGCCCTTCACCTCACTCGCACACTCTGTCCCTTTCTCCAGGGCATTGATGATTCCAGCAAAGACAAGTAAGTCAGGTTGTTGAGTAGGGAAGAAGGGCTGGGCGAAGGCACTTGCACCCTGGGGCGAGGTTGCGGGGAGCCAAGATCCCCCTCTTCCCTGGACCTTAGATGTGTCTTACGGGAGCGGGTGCCACCCACCCCGCTCACACTCCTTCTTTGAGTGCTTCCTGTGCCCCTCCCTTCTCATCGCCTGTCACGTGGCAGTGCTCAGGCACCTGGTGAAGCCATGTCCCCTGCCCTCAGCCGGGGTGCCCAGGACGCCCTGAACCCTGAGGATGAGGTAGACGAGTTCCTGGGCCGTGCCATCGATGCCCGCAGCATCGATCAGCTGCGCAAGGACCACGTGCGCCGGTTCCTGCTCACCTTCCAGAGAGAGGATCTTGAAAAGAAGGTTTGGGGGATGCAAGGGCAGAAGGAGGAGGGCTGGGGGAGGAGGGGAGGCCCTGGCAGGGAAGTCTGAGCACAGGTGAGGTTTCTGGGGAGTGGGGAGGTGACCACAGGGCACAGCAGGGATTCATATCAACTGGGCCAACTGGTAGTGCCCTGCCTTCCCCAGGGCGGAGCCAGCGCCCAGCTCAGTCTCCTCTCCCCCAGTACTCGCGAAAGGTGGACCCCCGCTTCGGAGCCTACGTGGCCTGTGCCCTGTTGGTCTTCTGCTTCATCTGCTTCATCCAGCTCCTCGTCTTCCCACCGTGAGAGCCCTGTCCCTCCTCGCTTGGCTTCTCTTCCCGCTACCACTTCCCACAACCTTCCTAAACGTCCTCGCAAGCACACAGTCCCTGGGGCCCACGTCCTGCCTGCCCAGGGAGTGGGACGAGGATGTCCAGATCTCCCGGAGTAACATTTTCCCTGGCCCTCTTCCGCCCCAGCTCAGCCCTGATGCTTGGGATCTATGCCAGTATCTTCCTGCTGTTGCTGGTCACCGTGCTGACCTGCGCCGTGTACTCCTGTGGCTCTGTACGTGGGGGGCCTTCCAGGGCTGGTGGGGGAGGCCAGGCCAAGGGCGGGGAGGGAGGAGAAGGCCGAGCCTCTGCCATTGGGCCCCATCCCTGGGTGACCTTACGCGTTGGCTGACGTGGCCTCCGTCTCTCTGTCTCCCGACTCCCGGCAGCTGTTCCCTCAGGCCCTGCGACGTCTGTCTCGCAGCATCGTCCGCTCGCGGGCACATAGCACTGCGGTTGGCATCTTTTCCGTCCTGCTTGTGTTCATCTCTGCCATCGCCAACATGGTAAAGTTCCAGTGGGAATTTTTCTGCCCCTCTGTTCCAAGCACTCTGGGTGCTGGGGGTACAGAGAGGAATGAGACGCATTTCCTGCCCAAAGCAAGGGTGAGGTTAACCCCTGTCCTCTCTCCTTGCTCCCCCCTACCTCTTGTCATCCCTCAGTGAGAAGTTGGGCCCCTGGGGTATAGGGCCCCTGGGTTATAAGGCATGGCCCTTGTAACCCCTCCCCTCCCCGGTTACCCTGATATACCTCCCCCGACTTTTGCAGTTCACCTGTAACCACACCCCCATACGGACTTGCGCAGCCCGGATGCTGAATTTAACACCTGCTGACATCACCGCCTGCCACCTGCAGCAGCTCAATTACTCACTGGGCCTGGATGCTCCCCTGTGTGAGGGCACCGCACCCACTTGCAGCTTCCCTGAGGTGTCCAAGTGGTGCTCGGAAGGGGTGGGGTGGGGGGGCTCCTGATCAGTTCCGGTTATCGACTCTTCTGTACCAGGCCTGGTGATGGGCACTGGGGACCCAGGATCTCACCAGAGTCTCCAACTCCGGGAGCAGCCCGGGGCCCTGGTGTGCTTTAGGGGTGTGTGGAGGGTGAAGGAGGTTTGGGTTTGAGGTTGTGGAGGGGAGCTTGGGTCAGGCGGGGGCGTGCAGTGTTCTCCCTGCACGGGAGCGCCATGGCCTCTGCCTTCGCCCAACACTGCCTCTGCCATTGCTCCCCAGTACTTCGTCGGGAGCATGTTGCTGAGTCTCTTGGCCAGCTCTGTCTTCCTGCACATCAGTAGCATCGGGAAGTTGGCCATGATCTTTGTCCTGGGGCTCATCTATTTGGTGCTGCTTCTGCTGGGTCCTCCGGCCACCATCTTTGACAACTATGACCTACTGCTTGGCGTCCATGGCTTGTGAGTTTATCCGCAGCCCCTTTAGTCCCCCAGGAGCCTCTTGACCCTGCTGGGTCACCGTGAGCCCTCTGTGCCCTTGGAATGCTACCACCCACCCATCACATGTGGGGGGAAAGGAGGCAGCACATGACCCCCAACAGTCACCTCAGGGAAACCCCAGTCCTGGGAAGTCCCTTGGTCTTTAGGCTAGACATTAAAAAAAAATTCCCTCTTGCATTTGCATGTTGCTTTCATATCCACTCTTAACTACCTGTAGGTCACACAGCTGCTTGGTGGTAGAGCCCTGGCTAGGAAAGGAACCAAAACCCTGACTCCCGCTTGAGGGCTTTGCCTGGGACAACACACTGGCTTTTCCTCTGCAAAACCTCACCCCTCGGGGTATGTGGTAGAAATATATGGTGCGGTAGAAAAAGCCTCTGGAGTCTGCTGTTTGAATCCCTACTCTGCCACTTATTAGCTGTGTGTCTTTGGATCGTTGAATTAACTTCTCTGAGCCTCAGTTTCCTCATCTGTAAAACGGCAATGCCATCTATATCACAAGGTAGTTGTAAAGATTATTATAAGTAACGTTTATCGAAGGCTTGCTGGTGCCAAGCGCTCTGCTAAGGCTTTCGCATGCAGTATTTAGATCTGATCACTCGTTGATTGATGAGGAAGCCGAGGCTTAGAGAGTTAAGCAGCTTGTTCCAGGTCACATAGCTGGTGAGTAGAGGAGCCAGGAGTGGAACCTCTGCCCTTAATGAGTTAATAGAAGCAAAACCCTTGGCCTAGTGCCTGATTTATGGTGCTCAGTAAATGCAGTTTCTGTCTCCCCTTCCATGCCCCGACCCGGCAACCCAGGAAGAACCGATGACTCTGTCTCTTGTGTCTTCCTGCCAGGGCTTCTTCCAACGAGACCTTCAGCACGCTGGACTGGTGAGTGAGGGCTGTAGGGGGCAGCAAAGGGTGGGGCTGCCAGATGCCTCCTTCAGACACTGAGCTTGCCTCTGCTTCCCTCAGCTCAGCTGCAGGGAGGGTGGCACTCAAATATATGACCCCTGTGATTCTGCTGGTGTTCGCACTGGCGCTGTATCTGCATGCCCAGCAGGTGGAATCGACTGCCCGCCTGGACTTCCTCTGGAAACTGCAGGTGACTGGGTGGGCCTCTTGGGTGGGGGAAGATCCTAGGGGCAGAGCCTGGGCCACGCCAGGCATCTCTTAGGCTGGCCAGGGCTCAGGCTGCCCCGAGCCCACCCTGGCTCCATGCCTCCTCTGCGCCTGTCCCCTATCCCCCGCCTCATCCTGTCCCTGCCCCCTCTACTTCTTTGCCTGTTCTTTAGGCCTGTCCATGCCTTTCTTCTTCCACGTGGTTCCCTCTGATGCCCATCTCCAGGTGTTGGCCGCTGCACCCACGCCTTGTGAATGTTGGGCAGTGGGTGATGGGTGTGGTGTCCACAGGCAACAGGGGAGAAGGAGGAGATGGAGGAGCTCCAGGCGTACAACCGGCGGCTGCTACATAACATTCTGCCCAAGGACGTGGCCGCCCACTTCCTTGCCCGGGAGCGCCGGAATGATGAGCTCTACTATCAGTCATGTGAGTGCGTGGCCGTCATGTTTGCCTCCATTGCCAACTTCTCTGAGTTCTACGTGGAGCTAGAGGCAAACAATGAGGGTGTCGAGTGCCTGCGGCTGCTCAACGAGATCATCGCTGACTTCGATGAGGTACTTGTCCAGTCGGCTGGTGCTGGCAGAGGGTGGGGGGACTTGGGGACCAGAGGAGTGGGGAGAACTTTGGATAAGAAGGCCAGGCTTGGAGGGGATGGTTGGTACTGGGAGGAGGAAGGGAGATCTGATGGGACCCAGAGGTGTCAGGGGTAGGAGTAAAGGTAGGTACAGTGGAGGCAGGGACAGGTGCTCACGAAGGTGTCACAGGCAGCAGGCTCAGCCCCAGTGGGGCAGGGTCATCATTGTTGGGGAGCAGAGGAGGACGTGAGGATCTGTGGAGGGGCCAGGGTAGGTAGCAGGTGGGGGTCATTGAAGAAGAAGCTGGTAATCTGTAGACTATGGCCCCATGAGGCCAAGTAAGCAAGATGATCCCCTGAATAGAGAAAATGGAAGCAAAATATGAAGAAGTGACCTGAACATCCAGGTCAGGAATGGGTTGTTCCCTATTCTGGAGGGAAGGCACTTCCTCAGCCTGGGACTCAATTTCCCCAAAGGTGAGGGTTGGAATCACTGATGCCTGATAGCCCTCCTGTGGTTCTGGGTTCTGCAGCAAGCTGTCGAAGTTGACCTGGAGCTGTGCGCTCCAGTCTGGCTTGGGTTTTGAGGGCTGCCCGGTGAGGGAGGCCGTTTTCCCGGCTCCTTAGTCCTGCACTGAGAGCAGCGGCTGGAAGCGGGGCTCACTTACCCAGAGGAGGGGAGTGTTGAGCCAGGAAAGTGGAGAAGGGGGCCAGGGCGTGGCAAGGATTGAGGCTTGAGGCAGGGCTGGGTTTGGCCTGTCTGCCTTGACAGCCAGGTCCCCCTGTGCTGTCCAGATCATCAGCGAGGAGCGGTTCCGGCAGCTGGAGAAGATCAAGACGATTGGTAGCACCTACATGGCTGCCTCTGGGCTGAACGCCAGCACCTATGATCAGGTGGGCCGCTCCCACATCACTGCCCTTGCCGACTACGCCATGCGGCTCATGGAGCAGATGAAGCACATCAATGAGCACTCCTTCAACAATTTCCAGATGAAGATCGGTGAGAGGGCCCGGGTGATGGCAGGTTTTCCCAGGGCCGTTTCTGGGTGAAGCTGAGGCAGCAGGCTGGGGATGGCGTCTCATATTCCCCGTCGGGAGTCCTGTGGGGCTTTCCTTTTCTCCCACCTCCTGTATTGTCTGATAGTAAGAACAGAGATCATTTATTGAAGGCCTGCTCTGTGGTAAGCACTGTCCCAGGCTTTTTTTTTTTTTTTTTTAAAAACACATATAAATCCTCACATTATTATCCCCTTTTACAGATAAAGAGATGGACTCTCAGTAAATAACTCAGCCAAGGTCATACAACTAGTAAATGGCTGAACTGGGATTCAAGACCAGGTTTAGCTACACTCCAGTACCCGTGTCCTTTTCTCTGGCCAGTCTGATAAGAGGCACTTCCTCTCAGATGAACTGGTGGATGGGAATGGTTAATAGCATGGGTTCTGGAGTCAGACTGTCTGCTTTGAATTCTGGCTGTTCCACTTAACTGGCTTATTTAGCAAGTTGTATAACTTCTCTAAACTTCAGGTATCTTTTCTGTAAAGTGGGAATGATGATACCTACCTTTTGGGGCCGTTGAGAGGATGAGATAGTGTAAAACGCTTACAGAGTGGTTGGCACAGAGCGCGCATCGGTAGATTAGCTGCTGTTCCAGCATAGCCGTCTTGACTCAGGGGATCTCCTCAGCTGATATGCCCGCATCTTCCATTCTTTATGACTAGGAGGCTTGTCCCTTTTCCAGTTTCTTCCCTGGGTCCTTCTAAAGGTGCCAGGAGGTGGCTGCCTCCCTGGGCTGACTGCAGAAGAGCCACTGCTCTCGATTTCTTACTGCTGTCCCCACCTACCCCAGGGCTGAACATGGGCCCAGTTGTGGCAGGCGTCATTGGGGCTCGGAAGCCGCAGTATGACATCTGGGGGAACACAGTGAATGTCTCTAGCCGCATGGACAGCACGGGGGTCCCCGACCGAATCCAGGTGAGGGGGATGTGAGCAGAGGCTGGGAGGGGTATGGGTCCAGAGGGCTTCCGCAGGGCCCTCTCTGCAGTCAGCTAGGACAGGGGAAGGGTGGCGCTGTTCTCTGGTTGGTGGAGTCGGGGTTGGGGGAGGGGAGCTGGCATGAGCAGAGAACCCCTGGACTCCTGCAAATGCAGCAGGAAGGATCCTGGGCTTAGCAGGTTCCCCTCCCCCCCCACCCCCCCAGGTGACCACGGACCTGTACCAGGTTCTAGCGGCCAAGGGCTACCAGCTGGAATGTCGAGGGGTGGTCAAGGTGAAGGGCAAGGGGGAGATGACCACCTACTTCCTCAATGGGGGCCCCAGCAGTTAGCAGGGCCCAGCTACAAATTCGGCTGAAAGGACCAAGGTGGGCATTTGAGTGGACTCTGTGCTCGCTGGGGGAGGCTGAGCCTCCAGACCCTGCTGACCACAAGAGGGAACACCACAGCAGGCTGTACTTGGACCGTGCTCGTCTGCCCTCAGGCTGGTGAATGAGGGGATACCAAGAGGATTATGCAAGTGGCTTTCTTTCTTAACTGGGGTAGGGCTGTTTTCTCTCCTTTTTTCCCAGCTTTTGGGAGCAGGGGAGGGGGCAGCAGCAGAGGCAGGGGGACGTCTCCTGCCTGAAAGGTTGAAATGGCAGCTTGCCACGCCCGCCCTTTCCCTGTCTGTCTGGGCACTTGGCTCAGGGCTGGGCCCTTCCTTTCCCTCTTTTTCCTGGGAACATTTTTATGAAGACTGGGGCAGTCTTGAAGAGTGCCTATTCCATCCTTGCCTTCCTTTGCTATGCCTGCATCCCCAGCATGGGTCCTGGGCACTCCCTACCCCAGCCAGGTCTCCCTCACAGACACAGGGCACGGGAGGGAGATGTTCTGGGGACCCAGCTCTGTCCATATTTCAGGGGAATGTTTCCATTTGCCAAATCCTAGTCCCATGATCTGTCCCCAAAGGGGAACAAAGGGACTTCTGCCACCTCAGATTAGCCCCGTTTCCTGCACAGCTCCAGGGGAAGGGGCATCTGGTCTCACTGGTACTGTGAAAATGCCCAGCCGGAGAGCAAGCGTGTGCGTGGGGATGTCAGAAGATCAGGAGCTGGATGTTCGCCTGCAGGTGCCAAAGAGCGCAGGCCGGCCAGGGACGGGGGTGGTGCCAGACCGATCCAAAGGTCAGGATCAGGCCACTCTGCCCCAGTGCTCTCTTGCTGTCTGCTGCAAGGGGGCACGGAGCATCTCTACCCCTTCTGTTGCCAAATAGAAAAGGGCCAGGGCATGGAGGAAGATGGCCCTGATCCCAAACCTGTCCTCCCACGCCTCTGGCACTGGGGAGGGCCTGCCTGTGTGTGTGTAACCGTGCGTGCGCGGTGGTCTGCGTGTGTGTGTAACCGTGCGTGCGCGGTGGTCTGCGTGTGTGTGTAACCGTGGGTGCGTGGTGGTCTGCGTGTCTGTGTAAGCGTGTGTGCATGGTGGTCTGTGTGTGTCTGTTTTCCCGGTCTGTGTGTCTCTGTGGTCCTGCTCCTTGGCTCTCCACCCTGGGTTGCCTCTTTCCTGTGGGCCTCTGTCTTCTGGGAATAAGGCAGGATTTCTGATTTCAAGGGATGAAGAGAGATGCCCCTGTTGCCCAGGAGTGGGATGGGGTGTGGTAGCAAGAGGGTGGCCCTGGGGAGAGGAGTCCTTTTTGTGCCAAATCCCTAAGTGCCGTTTGGGGGCCACGTGTGCAGCACGACTGTCTCCTTGCCTGAGGCAGGGACCCAAGCGCCTGCTTGAGGCCCACAGTGCTCCTTGCACTTGAACTGTCTGGGCTTTGGTGGGCAGAGGCTCAGGAGTTTCCTGGACTCCCCAGCTGGTGTCCTGGGATGTGGTATGCTTTGGGGCTGGGGTAGCATGGGATCCCTCTGAGGACCCAGATTCTGGTACTAAGGGCTAAGGGAGGGGAACCTGGACCTCAGCCTTCCCCAGCCTTCAGCTTGAGCCTAGCGTGCTCCAGGCTCCCCAGACCTCATGAAGCCTGCAAGAGCTGGCAGGAGGGTTAGGAGGGCTTGACTCTAGATTCCCTTCCTGTCCCTGCCTGCCTTTTACCCTCTTCCCTGCAACCTCCTTGCCTCTGGACTGAATTAGTTGGTGCCTTGGTTTCTCTGTCTGTACCTATTTAAGCCAGAGGCATTAGCCAGGATTTTGCTTGAAGATCGCTTTGTCTTTGAGGCGTTAGAGAGGCAGAGGAGAGAGGGTCCCAGAGTTGCTGGGTTTGGGGTTGGAAGGGGCAGGTGGTAGTCTTGCCCTTTCTCATGTCCTTTCTGACTCTAGCTCCTTGCAGAAGCCTGGTTTCTGGCTCGTACTGCCTGCTTTGGGGGATCTTCATGCATCAACCAAATGGGCCATCGGTCACTTCATTAGCCAAGGCAGGAGAAGGGGAAAAGACTAGTTGGTCCAGACAGAAAGTCAACTCCCCTTCCCTCAGCCACATCCCTGGACAGGAAGGTTCTGCGTGGGGTCCTGGGGTGGGGATGAGGCTGTAAGGAGACCAGAGTGGGAAGACTGCAGTCTTGGGTGACTTGTCTCTGCTTCTTGCCAGGTGGGAGGGACCTGTCCACACCCTGGCTACCTGTACCGCAGTGCCAGCCGTGTGCTTCCCCCGGGCTGATGTTGCCCCCTTCCTCGCCAGTTGGGGTGGGGGAGTCAGTGGATGGGAGGCCCATGGACTTTGGTTTTATAATGTAACCAGTGTGTGTGTGTAGGGGGGGAGGGTGTGTATACCATGTATTTCAGTGAAATATTTAATATATTTGAATATCAATAAAAGTCAAACTCTTTGTAAAATTCCCTGTTCTCCGCAGCTGTTCTGGGCTGTGGGTTGGGTCAGAAGTGGCAGAGCCTGGGGTAGGAGGCAGGCCCCAGTCTGGGGGCTCTGTGGACCTCCCTCGCCTGTGGTCAGAGGGCTTCCTCTGTTTTTCTTCTTGCCAAGGTAAAACTGCAGCGTCTTCACAGAGCACGACTACTCCAAGACCTGTCAGCATCATGAGGGGCAGGGTGTCTTCCGAGATTTGTTACTCCGACCCCTGCCATGCATGAGCTCAGGAACCCCTGTGGTGGTCTTTCCAGTGCCCTGGCTCCTCCCAAGCCAAACACCAAGTTCTGGCTCCTTCAGGAATCTCTCACAATCCTGATCTCCCAGGAATTTGGGTATTGGAATAATTTCCCTCCGCCTCACTTGCAGTGCACACGAGTGACTTCTAGTCCAATCTGTTTATTCCATGTTCTCAATCCCCTCCTCCCATTAGGCAGCCATTGGAACCAGGACACCTCCCTCTTTCCCTCTTTGCCCTCCATCCAGAGTTTATCTTGTCCTTCTGCAAACACATCCTGCTCAATACAGACTGAAGTTTCTGTCATTGAGAATAGAGTGATCCATAAACCTGGAAAAGAGAGGTAGGCTCTCAGATTCAGCCAGGTTAGGCTGGATGGGGGCGGGGGGTGCTTAAACCTAGAATGGGCAGAGGTAGTGATGAAGAAGTGGGGCTACTGCCAATGGATGGTGGTTAGAGGGGTGCGAGGTGGCAATGACGGGAGCTGAAACACCCCGGGCCTCCCACAGGAGTGCTGTAGATACTTGTGTCTATTCAGAAGTCATATCCATAAGGCAAAACGCAAAGACGCAGACCAATCTTTAGTTCCTTTGAATGCCAGCACTGCCCAGATTCTGGGGCCAGTTGTCCCTGGTAAGACCAAAACTTCCTATTCCATTTCCCAACTCTGACTAGAAATGAAAGAGTCTCCCAAGGATTTCAGTGAGGGGAAGGAGTAATACTTTCCTTGATCTCCCCACCCTCACCCTTCCAGCCTAACCTGGTCATTGGGCTTTTGATGAGGCAGTGGCGGGGGCTCCGGATCCATGGCATGGTTTCCTCTGGGCGCACTCCTGGATTGTGGGACCGCCAGAAGCTGAAGCTCTGAGCATCAGTCAGGGGGACTCTGAAGACCTGATTGGGGACTGAATGGTTGGGGGAAGGGCAGGTTATCCAATTTCTTAGAGTTGTCTGCTCCCTTTTGCGCCTCAGGGCGTCACAAGCCCAGCCTAGCAACTGGGCCTGACCAGGTGCTGAGAAGTCCTGGAAATGTGGTCACCACACTGAGTTCCACTTCTGGATTCCAGCATCTCTCCAGCATCTCGCACCCTTCATGGTCAGTGGAATCAGTCTTGGTTCTTCCTGCTTCTGCTATAAGCCCATCTCCAAGAGAGCTTTCCCCAAGTGCTAAGGTGGTGGAAAAACAAGTGGTCAACCCACTTGGTTTGTTTTCTTTCTTTCTTTGACCGTGCTACACGGCTTGTGGGATCTTAGTTCCCCGACCAGGGATTGAACCCGGGCCCTCGGCAGTGAGAGCACAGAGTTCTAACCACCCAGCACACTTGGAAAATGTGCAAGGTGAGTCTACTGGTTCTTTTGTTTTTCCCTCTTTGCTCATTTCAGGTAATTCTCTGAAATTTAGCAGTGATACTACCTCATGTTTGGATATTACTAATAGATATCATTTATCAAGTACCTGTTATGTTCTAAATGTTGTATTAGGTATTAAGTGTTTTTAAAATTTTGAAATAATACCAGACTTACCTAGATTTTCTTTTTTTTTGGATTTTCACTTTTTATTTATTTGAATAAATCTATACCAGTGTATAAAAATTATATATATATATATATATATATATATTATATAAATTTTTTTTTTTTTCTTTTTTGCTGTACGTGGGCCTCTCACTGTTGTGGCCTCTCCCGTTGTGGAGCACAGGCTCCGGACGCGCAGGCTCAGTGACCATGGCTCATGGGCCCAGCCGCTCCGCGGCATGTGGGATCTTCCCGGACCGGGGCACGAACCTGTGTCCCCTGCATCGGCAGGCGGACTCTCAACCACTGCACCACCAGGGAAGCCCATAAAATTTGTATATTTTATAAAAATTATAGCCTAATATTCTGGCTGTATGGTCTTTATAATCATTATTTTTTTTTAAATCCCTAATATGCTATTGAGTAGATGTTATATTTTTCACTTAGTTGTTTTCCTATTAATCGATAAAAAGCTTTTAAAAAGTTTTGCTAGTAGAAATAACAGATATTCCTCTTCACGCGTATCTTTTCTAGTTTCTGAAAGTATTTGTTTTTTTAAATTAAACTTTAATTTAATAGATAGATTCACATACAGTTGTAAGAAGTGAAAGACAGAGATCTTGTGTACCCTTTAGCCATGTCCTCCCAGCCCCCACCGAGGTAACACCTTGTAAAATTATAGCACTTTATTACAACCAGGGTATTAACATATTGATACAGAACGGTTCTACCACCGCAGAATCCTGGCGTTGCCCTTTTATAACCACATCCTCCTCCCTCCACCCCTTGGTAATCAATAATGTGCTCTTCAGTTCTATAATTTTGTCATTTTAAGAATGTTATATAAATGGCATCATGCAGTATGGGATCTTTTTTGGGATTGGCTTTCTTTACATAGTAGAATTCCCTGGAGATTCCTCAGTATTTGCATGTATCAGTAGGTTGTCCTAGGTGCTTTTTTAAATGTACATTTTCTCTAACTTTCACAAAAAATGCGGCAGTATAATTCCAATTTTCAGATGATCCAGAGAGATTAAGTGGTGGAAGGAATTTCCCCAAGGTCACACGGCTTGTTTGGAGTTTAAACTCAGTTCAAATTCCAAAGCTTTGATCCTCACGACAATTCTGTAAGATTGGTAGAGTAGGCATTTTCTGTTTTTTTGTTTTGTTTTTTTTAAATAAACGAGGAAGCAGGTTACAAAAGGATAAGTGATTGCCCAAGGTGAGACACTTAAAAGAGACAGAAATAGTACTCACACCTGGATCTTCTGCTTCCAAGTCTGATTCAGTTTTTATTTTATCTTGCTTACCCCACCATTCAAGTCTACTTTCTCCTTCTTCTTCTCAGTCTCTTCTTGGCTCTTTTTGCCCCCATCCCCTGCTCTATAACAATGCCCCACCACATCCCAGCCATTCTTTTGGAACTCAGACACATCTTTTCTGCCCCTAGCAGGTGACAAATCCAAGATACTTACATGTCTTTAACAACACCTTCCGTACAGCTTCCTGGTACCTTGTGTGGCTATTCTGGTGCACGGAATGATTCCCATCTTCTGAGATAATAGGGGGAAGCCTAGTGGGCTCCGGTTCTTTCTGGTCTGAAACGAGAACAGACTTGCTCTGAGTACTTAGCAAATCGGGATATTTGACTTTCTGAGTCTCTGGTCTCCATGCCAACCAGGCACAGGGCAGGGATCTCTCCAAGCCACTCACATCCGATTCTCAGGATCTCAGGAGTCAAATCAAAATGCCTGCGACAGAGGGGAGGGAGGGAGAACAGTGATCAGACCTTCCTCACCACTCTCTTGCTCCTCCCTGACTCCTGGTTTTGAGTGGCCTCCTGCTAGAATCAGGATATTGACAAATACTTAGGGTTAGTGTAGGTGGAAAAGGCCCCTTGTCTGGATGGATATTCCTTTCCTGAGATTGGCATATTTGCAGAGCTTCAGTTGGTCTAACAGGGGAAATTACGTTTAAGCTAAGTGTCGGAGGATAAGAAGGGATTCATGGGACATAGTAGTATCAGGAAGAGCATTTAAGGCAGCAAGATATCAAGTGCGTTAGAAGTGCTAGAGAGGTCTCAGCTTGCTGTTGACTTAGAGCTGGAATAATGCTGGGTAAAGTGGAGAGGGACAGGGCCGGCAGCTGGAAAGGCAGTGTAGAGTAGGGTAGTGTAGACTTAGCATTCTTATGGGAGTTTAGGAATCTCCTCTGAGGCAAAATCTGTATCTTACAGTGACTGACAAAACCAGACCTTCCTTACCCAGTGCTATGGTCTAAATGTTCCCATCCCCCCCAAATTCACTTGATGAAAACTTAATGCCCAAGGTAATGGTATTTGGAGGTGGGGCCTTTGGGATGTGATTCATGAAGGCAGAGCCCTCATGAATGGAATTAGTGCCCTTGTAAAAGAGACCTGAGAGAGCTTCCTTGCCCCTTCTGCCATGTGAGGAAACAATAAGAAGTGTGCAACCTGGAAGAGGGCCCTCACCTGGCATCCTGATCCTGGACTTCCAGCCTCCAGAAATGTGAGAAATAAATTTCTGTTGTTTATAAGCCACCCAGTCTATGGTATTTTGTTATAGCAGCCTGAATGGACCAAGATACCCAGCCTCTTGTGTAGCGAGGCCATGGGCAAAGAGTTTTGGTAGGCCAATCAACACATCTTCTTCAGATTTTGAATCAAAGATTGGGGTTGCAAAGAAGCTGGGACCATGTAAAGTCTTTTTCTGTTGATGGAAGTTGGGGCAGTGAAGCTGCATCTTGTTTCGAGCAGCAGTATCCGGGGCCCAGTGTCCTTGGTGCCAGCAGTGCCCGCCACAGCATCAAATGCAGTGGTGTCTGTGCCCAGCCAGGTCTGCAGCATGATTCTGAACATTGTTTCTGGTTACCCTCTGCCAAGCTTTGTTCTCTGTTCCTTCTACAATTTTTATGTGTTTCCCAATATTCCTTTTTTTTATAAACCACTTCATTGTATAACAGACAGAAAAAGTTGTATATATTTAATATATACAACTTAATGAGTTTGGAGATAAGTATACACCTGTGAAACCATCACCACACTCTATGCCACAGACATATACATCACCTCCAAAAATCTCCTCCCACCTTCTTTGTTTATTGTTATTATCTTTTTGACAAGAACATCTAACATAAGCTCTAACCTCTTAGTGAAGTTTTAAGTATATAACACAGTGTTAACTATAGGCTCTGTGCTGTATAGTAGATCTCTAGGACTTATTCATCTTGCATAACTGAAATTTTATACCCTTTGATTACTACCTTCCTGTTTCTTCCTCCCCCCAGCCTCTGGCAACCACCATTTTATTCTCTGCTTCTATGAGTTTGATTATTTTAGATTCCTCATACAAGTGGTATCATATAGTATTTGTCCTGTGTCTGGCTTATTTCACTTAGCATAATGTCTTCCAGATTCATCCATGTTGTTGCAAATGGCAGGATTTCCTTTTTTTTTTTTAAGGCCGAATAATATTCCATTGTATGCATATACCACATTTAAAAAATTCAGGGACTTCCCTGATGGTCCAGTGGTTAAGACTCCGCCCTCCCAATACAGGGGGCCAGGGTTCAATTACCTGGTCAGGGAACTAGATCCCTCACACCGCAACTAAGAGCCTGCATGCCACAACTAAAAAAGATCCCGCATGCCGCAACGAAGATCTCGCGTATAGCAACGAAGACCCCGCGTGCCGCAACTAAGACCTGGCGCAGCCAAATAAATAAATAAATAAAGTTTAAAAAAATAAAATAAATAAAAAACCCATTCATGCGTTGATGGACATTTATGTTGCTTCCATATCTTGGCTGTTGTGAATAATGCTGCAACGAATATGAGAGTGCACGTATCTCTTTGAGATCGTGATTTCAGTTCCTTTCAGGATATGTATTAGAAGTGGGATTGCTGGATCATATGGTAGTTCTATTAATTTCTTGAGAAATCACCTTACTGTTTTCTATACTGGCTGCACCCATTTGCTTTCCCACCACAGTGCACATGGGTTCCCTTTTTTCCTCACCAATGCTGGTTATCTTTTGTGGGTTTTTTTGATTATAGCCACTTTAACAGGTGTGGGGTGACATTGCGGTTTTAATTTGCATTTCCCTCATGATTAGATGTTGAGCATCTTTTCATATACCTGTTGGCCATTTGTGTGTCTTCTTTGGAGAAATGTCTTTTCAGATCCTCTGCCCATTTTTTGTTGGATTTTCTTTTTTCTTTTTGCTGTTGAGTTATAGGAATTCCGTATATATTTTGGATATTAACCCTTTATCAAATACATGGTTTGCAAGTATTTTCCCCCGTACTATAGGCTGCCTTTTCATTTTGCTGATTGTTTCCTTTGCTGTGCAGAAGCTTTTTAGTTTGATGTAATCCCACCAATATTCTTTTAATAAATTCATGTTCTGCTTAAATAGGCTAGATTTGGCTTGCATCTCAGAATCCTGGGCTTGTCAGGAACTGGGTCAAAATTTGCCATTCTCTCTTGAAATTGTTAAGATAGCTGACTCACCTCTGGTGGATGGTGGGGATGCCCCCTCTTTTAATTAATTAATTAATTAATTAATTTTTGGCTGTGTTGGGTCTTCGTTGCAGTGCGCGGGCTTCTCATTGCGGTGGCTTCTCTTGTTGCGGAGCAGAGGCTGTAGGCGCGCGGGCTTCAGTAGTTGTGGCTCACGGGCTCAGTAGTTGTGGCTCGTGGGCTCTAGAGCGCAGGCTCAGTAGGTGTGGTGCATGGGCTTAGTTGCCCCGCGGCATGCGGGATGTTCCTGGACCAGGGCTCGAACCCGTGTCCCCTGCATTGGCAGGCAGATTCTTAACCGCTGTGCCACCAGGGAAGCCCCCCCACCTCTGTTTTATAGTCCTTCCCCAGCTCCTGCTTTCCGCCTTCAACCTGCTTGGCTCCACGCATTCGCCATCATCTGTCCCTCCGCACTCCCTTTTGCACTCCAGTGGAAATCTCCTTTAACATTCTCTGAGACAATGACATTACCAGAGTGGGACACTGTTTGAATCCCCTCCCTTGACAGTTGAGGGCTTGGGCAGGTGGAAGCCTGGACTGAACCAGGGGCTGAATTTACTTCATCACAGGTTATAGCAATGAGGGGCCATTTCCTAGAAGCAGCGTCATTTGAGTTTGGTCGTTTGACTTTGGGGTCGTTTTGACTTTGGGCTAAGTGAGGGTGTCACAATGTCTATGGCCAAGTAAGTGTAGACTGAGGAGAAAGAGCAAGAGCATATTCCTAGTAGGCAATGGGACCTGGACTACAAGTAATTATTGGTCTGGGTGCAGGTGACAGTGGGAGCTCTTTATCGGGTCCCGAGGCCTCAGACTGTTCTTTAGGGTACAGCCAGATGATGCTCTCTATTATCTCAGTTTCCAAGTAGTAGTCTTCCAGCTTCCTGTATGGGTTACTGTGTGCTTGGAGGTGTATTGGACAGTATCACCCACTTGGATGCCTTCCTCTTGACTCAAGCACCAGTTGGCATATTCCTCGGATCAGTATTTGGCGAGCTGGAAGGTATTTTTGGTAACCCATAGCTTCTGCAAGCTGCCAAGTTTTGGAAGCCACCTGAGGTGAAGGGTGGTGAGGGGTAGGTGAGAATCATGCCACAGCTACTTGTGAAAGGGCATGTTCTGGGTAGAGGGATGCAATGAACTCTTTATAACTCCACCATGGCAAGGTAGATGAATCCATCATTTTGTTGGTAGATGGTATAACACAGGTTCTTCGCTCACCCAGTTAATACTATACCCCATATGTTTTTTTGTGATAAATAGATACGAAGGAAGGGCCCTGACACTTTCTTCTAGAGCCAGGCCATAAATTAGGAGTTGCCATAAGACCAGATTTAATGCTTTGAATGGACCATGAAGGACATATGGGGTAGTGCAAAAGTACTTGGGTGGATCTTCTACTTTTCCAAATTTATGTTGCAGATTTCTCAATAGTATAAGCTTCCCAGGGCCACTGGGATGGTCACAAAATCTTAGTTTTCCACTGCTTTACCCATTGCCTCTGTTAGCTGGAACTGGGGCTGATTGGCCACAATGTTTTCAGGCTGAAGAATTTTTAGAATGGGTCTACCTCAGTGGCTCCCAGGATTCTGACTTTCAGGTTAGGGTGTTTGCCTGTCTGTTCCAGATTCTGAGTACATGGTGGTGATAATATCTAACAGACATTACTTGCAGTTGTCTTGAAGTTGGTATCACTGCAAGCAGAGTAATACCACCCTGACTAGAAATTTATACAAGATCAGTTTGAGAGAAAATGTTGCGGTACTGTACGTAAAATATGACCCCTAAGAGGTCGTATCAGCTGTGGGGCATTAATCCCTCAAAGTTGAGTGGCGCGTTAACATGGATTGAAATTGGCTAAAGTATGTTTTGAAGGCTATCTTGCACTTATTGTCTTTCCTGAGATAAGGAAATAGTCAGTGCTTTGGGAGGAAGTGGACAAGAGCATAAACCCTGGGAGCCAGACCAATTCCCAGGGCACATTTTACACATGGGGACAGTTCCTTTGCCTCCAAAAATATCTTCCTCAAAGTGGTGCAATTGTTACACAGGGGAGGTGGAGGGGGCACGAGATAACAGAGAGGCTTAGTGCTGGTTGCAGACTGCTGATGTAAAGTGGACTACACGGATATTCTAGAGATAACAACAATAAAAAGGGCTAATAATTAGTGAATGTGCTCAGCACAACTATAAAAGGTAGGTACTGTTACTATCTTATTTTGTAAATGGAGAAACAGAGGCCCAGAGAAGTTCAGTGATTTGCCCAAGGTCACATAACCAGCATATGGCAGAGACATGAGTTTAACCCAAGCAGTTTGGCTCCAGAGCCCATGCTCTTAACCACCGCATTAAACTGGCTCTTGAAATCATCTCATCAGGCCTTCCAGGAAAGACCAAGGACTAAGGAAAAACATGAACTGATAGAACTAGCCTCTTAATGGGCTCCCCTGTGTACAGCTCAATGGGGGCCCTGTCAAGGGTGTCTGCTCAACTTGGAGAAGCCTTGAGTTGGGAGAGAGACATGATGATATTACCTTGTTCTAGAGGCAGATCCCTGCCTCCCTGAGATTCACTGAATTGTGGAATATCGTTTCCTATGGCCAGCATCGAGGGAGCAGAGAGGACTGGAACCTGGTGGGCCAGTCTTCAGTGGATTAGATCAGTCCCAGCGAGGAAAACCAGTGGGGAAATGCCAAGCCCCTGTGGAAAAAGTGGTCTGTCTGCTGCAATACAGACACGGTCATCCACCTTGGAGGTGCCCACTCCCTAGGCTTTGGCAGATTGTAGCTGTGAGTAGCTTGAGTACCTTCTCCCTTCCGGTTTCAGGTGGATGGGGATGATGGTCTATAGCAGCTATGAGACATATGAGTGTTTCCAAAATACACTTCTGTAACTTCAGTATGTTTATCCATTTAGAAAGGCAGAGGGGCTCAGAGGTTTTGGCCAGTTCACTCTTGGCCGAATTGTGCCATTCATGCTCCTGTTTGAAAAGCCAGAACTACAGTGCCCTCTGCTGGAGTCTAAGTGGCATCTCCAGCTGTCTCCTAATAGCGGGTCACCAAACAGGCAGCTAGGAGAGGTCAGGAGAACTAGGAGACTGAGCAGAGGACATTCCAATCAGGGTGGGGAAAACCACCTATGGGACCCCTTTGACACGATCCAGAAAATGAGAATACAAGTGATATATGCTCGGCTTTTACCAAAGATGTGAGATTTACTTTTTC